AACTTTGTATCATCCGCAAATTTAGCCACTTCACTGCTTACTCCCAACTCCAAATCATTAATGAACAAGTTATGCTCTTATGCTCTGAAAATCTCTGTTTAGGGTTATGAACATCATGGACTGTCTCTCATTAGAGGTTCTTCAGTGAGAAGGTCAAGTCTCATACTGCTTTTGGGATCTTCAGTGAGTAGGGAGATATGCCTTCAACCACACTTGTACAAACCAAAAGGGGTCACAGGTGTCCAGTAGGAAAAACACATAAGCAATCCTGTGATGTAAACATATCAAAAGATTTATATTACTTTCAAGACTTATAAAATTACAAAAAGTTATATCAATTGCACAATATTGTGAACAACAGGTCCAATATAGTTCTACATGATGAGTATCCGGTATACACTCATTTCAACTATACAGTCTTCCTCAGATGTAATTTTATACTGAAGGGCGAGGTCAGGATCTTAATTTTCTTCATAGTATCCTGGAAAAACCAAGGTAAATGCAAATTCATAAGTAGCTTCATGGAAATTAATTATATCAAACCATAATACCTTAATAATTAGTTTCAAAATTTAGAAAACTTACTTCTGGATCATACCAAGTGTTTACATGTGGAGCAAGCCCATAGGTTTCAAAAAAGACTCTTGGATTTTGTTGGCATTGCTCTCCTAAACACTGTTCATTTTCTTTCAGTAGTAGCAACCCAGTCTTCATTTCACTTCATACAGTTTTCCCCTCAAATGGCTGTGGCCCTGCCCCAGCGTGTGACGTCACATCCGGGTGACGTGCACATGGGGGTGGGGTTTCCCCTGGGCCCCGATTCCGCAGGGGCGGAAATCGGGGCTTGAAAGTGGGGGGAAATCTGCCCCCCGGGGGCATTTGGCAGCCCTATTTATAATGTCTTGTAAGAATTCAGTATGAAATGTATAATTCTATTAAGGCAAGAACCTAAAGGATGTTGTTCTACTGTTATTTACTTTTTCATTTTTCCTCCATTGTAGGTAGCAATTCCTGTCAACTCAATAATGGTGGATGTTCCCAACTTTGCTTGCCAACCTCAGAAACAAGTCGTACATGCTTATGTACAATCGGCTATAACCTACAGAAAAACCGAATGTCTTGTCAAGGTAAACTGGCACTTTTAAAGAAAATACTGAATAAAAATAATTTTTAAAAAATCCTAGAAGAATGATTGTTTAAAAAATATGATGCTGCGTAGTTGGAAAGCAGGACTGCATATCTTTTCCATTGATGTTTGTGAAAATATTTTTACATGTTCTTGCAAACAAATATTTAAATTTTCCTAGAGATATATTAAAGAGTTTACAGAATTAACATAGATGATCAGTGCAATCCTAAATAGAGTTACACCACTCTGCTGAAGTCTTAAGAGGTTGCAGCTCTGCCTACGATTCCACTGTATAGGAACTACATGATTTTACTGTTATCATGGCCTCAGTAACTTGGTTCTTGTAAGTGACTTTACAGTTACTGCATGTATTCTTAATGTATTCTACTAGTTGAATGTAAACATGGAAAACACCTCAAGTTAATTCTAATAATTAGTTTCTGTTATCTCGGACTTAATTTCATCAGTGCTGTATTTTCTTCCAGGAGTTTCCTTAATATGGGTCAGTGGATTGTGTTTATGCTAATACTGAAAAAAATGTTTGAAACAGTGGCCATGAAAGGAATAGACAGCCTTGCTGAGGAAAAGTAGAAAGGCTGAAAACCATTTGTTTAAACTAAAGCATTTTTTCCATATTACTTTACATTTAAAACAATTGGCTTTTTATACCTAATAACGATGATCATTCTTATGTTTTATGTTTGTGTGTTTTTAGGCATAGAATCATTCCTCATGTATTCTGTTCATGAAGGAATTAGAGGTGTTCCCCTTGATCCAAATGACAAAACAGATGCATTAATGCCTATATCGGGAACTTCATTTGCCGTGGGCATAGATTTCCATGCAGGTGAATAACAAAAAAGTATTTACCTTTATTTGATAAGCATTTACCATGCTATTAACGATTGTCACCTATCTGAGGGTATAAATGTAAGAAATTAATACATAGTAGCCTTTTTCAGAAGTACCCCAAAGTTGCAAGTAGTAATGTTACCAACTTTCAGGTGAGGGCTGGAGTTCCCTTGGAAGAAATGGCAGTTTTGAAGGGTAGGCTGTATGGTCTCACATAAGATTATAGAGTTGGTCAATGCAAGCATCCCTGAGAAGTATTCATACACCTACTGCTTTAGACGCCAATTCCACTGCTGAACTAGTCTTACTGTGAAAGTTCTTTTCCTAATATTCAGCCAGTATCTTTCCACTTGTAATTTGAAGCCACTATCTGCTATGGCCAACAGGAACAGTTCCCTGCCCTCCTCTAAGTGACAGACTTTCAAATACCTAAAAGAGAACAATCATGTTCCCCTCAACCTCCTCTTCTCCAGACAGAACAGTCCCAGGTTCTACAGCCTTTCTTTGTAGGGCTTGGTCTCCAGGTCCCTGATCATCCCGTCACTCTCTTCTGTACCCATTTCATTCTGTCCACATTCTTTTTGAAGTGAGTCCTCCAGAAATGCACACAGTACTCCAGCTGTGGCCTGACCAATGCAGTGTACAGTGGGATTATGACATCTTGCAATTTGGCTATTATGCCTCTGCATTGGCTATTTGCCACTGCATCACACTGACTGCTCAGTATTTAGCTTACAGTCCACCTATACTCTGCACTTACCCTTGTTGAATTGTGTGTTTTTGCCGCTGCACCACACTGACTGCTCAATATTTAGCTTACAGTCCACCTGTACTCTGCACTTACCCTTGTTGAATTGTGTCTTATTCACATCTAGGATTTCCAAGTCCCTCCTGGCAACTGGTAGGGGATGGGGGGGACTTATCAAGAGAAAGAGAAAAGACCAAGCCATGCTGCCAGTGTCACATAGGAAGTGACATCATCATGCCAGTGATTTCCAGGTGACACTGGTATTTGGGCAAAAACTCTATGGTAAAACCGGCTTCTGCCATAGAGTTTGACCCAAATACCAGAGCATCCCCGGAAGTCACTGGTGTGATGGCAGCAATGTGGCCTATACCATTCTCTTTCTACTAGTAAGTCCTCCCACCATCTAGTTCATTGGTGGCTGGTGAGCAGGGTCTGGCAATGGGAGACCCCTGCCTCCACCAGCGGTCTGGCAACCCTATGCACATCCACCCTCTTTTTTAGTTTCCTTAGATCAGACAAAATGCCATTGACAACTACTCTTTTGGTATGGTTCTCCAGCCAGTTCCATATGCCCCTAACTATCCTAGAGTCCAGTCCACAGTCCTCCAGTTTACCTTCCTTCAATCAGACAAAATGCCATTGACAACTACTGTTCTGGCATGGTTTTCCAGCCAGTTCCATATGCCCCTAACTATCCTAGAGTCCAGTCCACAGTCCTCCAGTTTACCTTCCTTCAATCAGACAAAATGCCATTGACAACTACTGTTTTGGTATGGTTTTCCAGCCTGTTCCATATCCACCCAACTATCCCAGAGTCCAGACAGTCCTCCAGTTTACCTATCAGAACATCATGGAAAACCTGTCAAGTGTTTTACTCAAATCCAAGTAAACCATGCCAACATCCCTGTCAAGTCCCCTCTTTCTACAAATTCCACCTTCCTCAGATCCCCAGGAATTTCCCAATCCAGAACTGGCAACCCTAGCAAATTGTCAAAAGTAACAGAAGATGTGGAAGTATCTACAGTTACATTGTTTTGTAGAAATTACAGCCCTAGACTGCGTCAGCCATACTTACTTTATTCTTTTCTGTCACAGTTCCTTTACATTTTATTTACTCCCTGACATAATTGCTCCTAGTTTTGTTCAAAAACCAACAGTCTAATCCTTCTCTTGTATTAATTATCCAAGTAAACGGGGGCGTGGTTTGGTGCCAACAGGAATGGACGCCTAGAGGCTCGGCTCCGTATCCCTTCATCCCTCAAACCTAACTAATCAACAGATAAATCATAAGAAAAGCGAAAAAATATGGGCAAACCAAACACAGACAAAACAGCACCAAATCTGCCGTCTGGAAAAACCATAACAGATTATTTTAACAAGGCTAGTCACCAGCCCAATACAGAGAACAACGGCGAAGACGGTACCAACGAAATGGCCGCAGAAGAACAAGGTACGACGCACCCGTCACCTTTACTGACTGAGGCGAAGCTAGAGTCGATGTTAAGTTCACTAGAACACAAATTATTCGATAACATGTCGGCCCTAATCAAACCCATAAACGATCAATTTGCGGAACTTAGAATCGCCCTTACCACAGTAGCACAAACCGCGGAGCAAGCAAAAGAAATGGGCGCTGCTCTTAAAGGAGAAGTGGGCTATATAGGAAATGAGATTCGTACCGTTAAAGATAGAGTGTTAACGTTAGAAGTTGCTAATCGCCGCCCCAACATAAAATTTAGAGGCTTTCCGGATCCCATTAATATCTCAGTTGAACTATCGATTTTTATTGCTGAATGGTTGGCGCGGGAACTAGACCTTTTAGTATTATTGAGAGTGATGTCTTTGTAAATTTGTAATTAATGTGTATGTAAACTTGATGGGAAATCCAATAAAACTATTATTTAAAAAAGAAAAAAAGAAAAAAAAGAAAATGTCGTCCCTGTTGTAGCGGCAGCGTTCCGATTAGGTCCGCAAAATCATCCCACCCGTAAGGGGCCGAGAGATATCCTCGCAGTCCTGCCAGATCCGAGAACAAGGAAGAGAATACTAGAGGAAGCAAGGGTTAAAGGATCCTTTTCGTTCCAAGGCAACAAAATTTTGGTGTTTCCTGACTTACCTCAAGAAATACTGCTCAAGAGAAGAGATTTGCACCCCATCACTGAGGCTCTTAGACAAGCTAAAGTCCGGTATCGTTGGGCTCGTTTAACCACCATACAAGTGAACTATAAGGACAAGCAATACTTCGCTCATGATCTAGAAAGCGGGAAAAATCTTCTGCAAAAATTAAATCTACTGGCGAACTTTGATATGTCCAAGCTGACACAGAAACGAAAATACCCTGATTCGCCTAACCACGATGATAGAGGGCGCCGCGCAGACGGCAAAATGGTGGTTCGTTAGTTTGTAACGCTAAGCATACCTCTGTACCAACATCTACACTTCTAAATGAACAAAATACTTGTAAATTTTACTATCAGAAAATTAAATATTTTTAATGTGCCCTTTTAAAATCTTTGCTTTTTAACATGAAGGTTTGAGGGGGAGGGGGGAGGACGTTCTCTTTTTCCCGCCTTTTATTTTACAGTCTCGCCACAGGAGAGTACTCCATTAATCACTGCAGGTGTTATTCTGCAGTGATTAAGTGAGACTGTTTCTCTTTTTTCTTTTTAAAGCTTAGAATCAAATTACTACAACTGATCTATTTTTAAGTAAATAATCCAAATTAATTCAAATACATTTGATTATAATCACACTTAATTCATTTTTTTCATTTAATAAGAAATCTCTAACTACTTAATTTCCTAGATCAAACATATTTATTTTTTTACATCTCATTAACTTCTCCATTTTAATCAATTTGCAGGAGCTAGGGGGTAAAATAAAATTTGGTAACATAATTCAAAATACAGGATTGAATATATTGTGCATTCTCTATGAACAACAATTTTTAAGCAATAAGTTTAACAGTTAACAACTTTGAGTAATACTTTGCTTTGCTGCTACACTACATTTTAAACATATTATAGGAAAAGCTGATATCTTTTACCTCCCAAAGACAACTGTGCTTCTGCAGGCTATAATTCACTATAGTGATATTGAAAATAGATACTTATAGTGTCTTGTTTTGTGTATATTTTGTTTTTTGGTTGTACATTACAGTCACAGATATATACTGTTTCATATTTATGGTTCATTGTTTTTAATTCTCTTTCTGAAGTTATAAAGTTAGTTAATCAATAGAAAGTTTAAACTTCAAGTGACTGTTGGTTATTTAAAAAAAGAAGAAGTTAAAACCATTACTTGAATTGTATTTCCTCCTATTACATTACACTGTACTCCACATTTTTATATATATATTTATATATCTTTTGACTGTTTAATAACTTGAGTAAGATACAGCAACCAGTGGTATAGAAGCTTTATTTTTTAACCTTTATTAAGTCAAAACATATTGGAATACGCACCAAAAACACATTACCAAAGAAGAACACAACAGGAAATATTGTAAGCATACACTGCAACACATAGGACTATTGTTTCTAAAGATATTACACTTCAAAATCATACATCTAAAGGGTAAGAAGTCAAGCAACGCAGCATCACTAATAACTACACATAAAAAACTTCCCTGTGATAAACAACTCATTACATACATCAGGAAACGTAATAACATATTACAAGTGACATAAAGAGATCTACCAGGCTTTTCACTCTTTCTTAGTTAACCTCATATAACATGGCTTCCTCATGGAACATTCTTTCACTTAATGTTCGAGGTCTGAACAATATTGTCAAGAGGCA